TAAACAAAATTTTTTAAAAATGTAAGTGGTCTCTATGTACCAACTAAAGCAAACTATTAAGACAATAAGACCCGGGCTGGGGAGATGGCTCAATGGTTAAGAGCACTGACTGCCCTTGTAGAAGACCCAGTTTCGATTCTCAGCACCCACATGGCAGCTACGAACCATCCTTAACTCTGTTCCAGGGGAATCCAAAGCCCTCTTCTGACCTCCGTGGCATTGCACAACACTGGTGCACTCACGTACATGCAGGCAATACACTAATACACACAAAATAAAAATAATAAATAAAATATTAAAAGAAAAAACAATAAGACCTAGAAACCATGAGTTTCTAAACAAAAATTCCAGTGCCAGGCTTGGAATACTCTGTTAGTCAGGGAGGGACCAGAGGCCCCCAGAACAATACAGGCTATTCACATCGCTCTTTGTTGCCCAGCAGAACTAAATGGTAAGACCCTATTGCTGAAAACACCATCCACATTGGTTGCAGGACATAGAGAAATAAAACTGGAACGGACCTGCTGAATAGCTATGCAGGATGCTGGTGGGGAGGGGGGTGGAGAATCATCCGTGGATTTACCCAGCTATGGACCCTGCATGCTACAATACCTACCTGACAGGCAAGATGTGCCCAAGTGTGCAATACTGGCATAAATGTTATAAGACTAAACAACCACTTTCTGACTAGATTTGAGGCTTGCTTCACAGAGGGGAATTCATGCCTGGTATTGTGAACCTGATCAAAAGTCCATGGCTGTGGAGATCATAGGCCCTGGGGGGCATCCTACCATGATTCTGCTAAATGATCATTTCAAACTGCTTCCTAAATATTTGTGTTTATTCTTGTAAATTTGTGCTGCTCTCAATTTTGGTCAGAGAGGCTTATCTTTACAGGGGGCAGCAGTAAATGTAGAGGCTCATAACTAGTCAAAGTGGTGAGAAGTGACTCCTGAGTGCTCAGCCTTAAACGGGACATATTTAATACTCCCCACAAGATTCAGGGAACATCACAGAAGAGGGGGCAGAAAGAACATAAGAGCTAGAGGATGGGGAAAAGTGCTGTGAAATGCATGACATGGCTGTGGCACTCAGGACCACACAGCTGCTGTGGTCACCTAAGCAAGACCTGCAGGATCAAGCTGATCTACATTCCAGCATAGATGAGGGAGGGACACATGAGGCCCTGCCTTTCACTAAGGAGCTCTTGGCAGTTAATGGCCGCTAGGGCAGGGACAGTCATTTTCTTTCAGTAGTGTAGGGACTGTTAAGTTGTCCGTGATCCAGTAAATAACCTCATACCTACGTATACACAAGCAAGCCTAATTAAACTAAGTTATTTTTTTTAAAAATGAAAGTAGGAGGCAAATGTGTTGGGAAGAAGAAAGTTTCCAAAGAGAGTGAAAGGGGATAAGAGAGGGGAATGGAAGATGAACATGATAAAAAATGTTATACACATATATGAAATTATCAAAGAATAAATAAAAATTAATTTAAAAAAATTTAAAAGACCCAATTATATGAACTTTGCAAGTTATTTAATTTACATGTAACTATGGTGCTGGCAAATATACCTCAGTGGTAGATTACTTGCCTGCAAGGGTCAAATCAGGGCTGGGCATGGTAGTACATGCCTGTAATACTAGCACTGGGAAGGTTGAGGCCACAGAGAATCATGAGTTTGAGGTTACTCTAGACTATATAGCAAGACACTATTAAAAAACAAAAAGCTGATCTATCAGTAAGGAAATAATTTAATTAATTAATATGAGCCTGTGTGATTGCTTGCATGAATTTATGTAGGAGCTCATGGAGTCCAGAAGAAGGCCTTGGATCCCCTAGAACTGGAGCTGTAGGTGGTTGTAAACCACAATGTGTATTCTAGGAACTGGACTCAGGTCCTCTGCAAGAGCAGTAAGTGCTCTTGCGCCATCTTTCCATCCCTGAAAACACAATTTCAAATGTAGATGTTCCCCAAATAGAGCTGCTAAAAAAGACTAATAAGTCCTAAGCCAAGCATGAGAGTGCACGCTCAGAACTTGAAAGGTGGACGCAGAAAGATTAGGAGTCCTCCTCAACTCCATGAGTTAGAGACCAGTCTGGGCTATATTTTGATCCTGTTTCAAACAAGGAAAAAAAAAGGAAAAAATGGAAGAGAGAAATATTTCAAATGAATAAATTACAACCTTAAATGTAGATGACCACCCAAAAGAGCTGCAAATAAAAAAGTGTTAGAACTGGGGTTGGAGAGATGGTGCATCAGTTAAGAGCTCAATTCCCAGAACCTACCTTGGGCAACTCAGAACTACCTGTTAGTGCAAGCTACAAGGAATCTGGCACTCTGTAGACACCTACACTCACATGCACATACCCCCACACAGACACATACACATAATTTTTAAATGTCTTTAAAAATATAATAGAACCCAAAGGGGCAATAGATGAATTTACAATTTTAATTTAAAATTACTTTATCATTGTTATTGGTGGTGGTGGTGGTGGTAGTGGTGGTGGTGGTGGTGGTGTGTGGTGTGTGTGTGTGTGTGTGTGTGTGTGTAGGGGCAGGCACTTTTGTGTCACGGCATATGTGTTGAGGTCAGACAACAACTTTTAGGAGTCCCTTTTCTCCTTTCACCGCGTTGAGACAGGGTCACCTGTTCTGGCATGTTGCTAGCTGGCCCTCTGGTTTCCAGGCTCTTTTGCTGTCTCTGCCTCTCATCTCACCACAGGAGTGCTAAGATTACAAATGTGAAGCACCAGATGTACCTTTTTTTTTTTTTGGTCTTTTTGAGACAGGGTCTCCCTGTAGCCCTGACTGATCCAGAACTCACTATGTAGACCAGGCTGGACTTGAACTCACCGAGATCCGCCTGCCTCTGCCTCCCGAGTGCTGGGATTAAAGGCATGCGCCACCACTCCCGGCTTGCATCTAGCTTTTTTATGTGGTTTCCAGGGATCGAACTCAGGCTTGCTGGGCAAGCGCTTTTAACGACTGAGCCATCACTCTGGCTGGACTTTGAATTTTTAATTGGAGACTTCCACATTTGTCTTTCAACAACTGACAAAATCAACAAGACATAAAACCAGCAAGCAAACAGAAATCAACACCATCAACGGTTTGTATGTAATCTGCTTTTATAAACAGGAGCATTCTGGGGGTTTGCTGGCCTAGCCCAAACTTGGAGCTCCCGGTTCAGTGAAAGAATCCGTTTCAAAGAATAAGGAGGGGAGCAATAGAGGAAGACAAGCCTCCATGCACACAAGGGCAATCATGCATGTACACACATGCGTACACCACTGGCACACAAATAAATATGTAATGTTTAGATTACCTTTTTGTATTGCTACTTTGTCCAAACATCGACCCTTTAAGAAAATGCTTAGCCATGTGCATTAAAAAAGAGACTCCATCCGGTCTAATTTTTTGCCAAATGTCATAAAACCATGGCTTTAACATATATTTTCATTAAAAATTTTACATTTATTTATGTGTGTGAATGGCTGGGTTCATTCCCCCGTGCACGTGTGCAGGTCTGAGGGCAACTTTTGGAAGTTGGTTCTTTCCTTCCATCCTGTGGGTACCAGAGATGGAATTCAGGTCATGCCGTGGTGGAAAGCTTGGATACCGCTAACCATCCTGCCTACCCTTCATTTTTATCTTTACGTGTCATTGTGAAAATAAGAGATAATATTTGGGGCTGGAGAGGTGGCTCAGTGGTTAAGAACACTGACTGTTCTTGCAGAAGACCCAGGTTCGAATCCCAGCACCCAAATGGCAGCTAACAACTGTCCGTAACTCCAGTTCCAGGGGATCCGACAGCCTCTTCTGTCCTCTGCGGGCATTCATTGCACGACTCGGGTACACTTACGTACATGCAGGCAATACACTCACACACATAAAACAAAAATAGTAAATATTTTAAAAACAGAGATAATATTTATTTAACAGATTGTGATTTGACTTACAGCTTTAGATATTAAGGCACCGGATATATAAATTTCCATTTCTTCTTTTGCTGTGGCTCAACAAATGCTAGAGGCCTCTACACCCTAACTCCCTTGACTCATACCGTCCTTTTCCGGAAAAGGAGGGTAACAGTACTGAGTTCACATGGTTGGGCTAAACCGGCGCCTGGTGTGGTAACGGCCGTCCAGTATATTGGGCCAGTATAAGTTCAAGAAGTGCTTGGGGGTTTTGTTTTATTCTCTCTTTTTAGGATGCAAAGGACACGAATATGTTTAAGCAAGAAAGTGGTTGAAGCCACAGAAGAGGCGTGTGATGGAGCGGAATGGGACGGGCTCCCAGGGGCTGGCTTGGAAGTGAGGATGGAGAAGTGGAATTCCCAGCCATCCCCCAGACAACGCTCAGGCTGCTGGAGGTGTGTGCGGGGTGCGGAGGGGGTCGGCTCCGACTCCACAGACACCGCCACGCATGACGAAGCTACTTCCCCTCCCGCCGTCAGAGCGCACACCCGCCATCCACGGCCACGCCCTCGCACACACACAGGGCATCCTAGGGTCCGGTTGCCATGGCGAGCCGGAGCGCGTGAGCCCAGCCGCCCCTCCCGCCCCCCAGCGGAGCCAGGTCAACTTCAACTCTGATTGGCCGCCGCTTGCTCATTATGCAAATCGTTTGCGTAGACTCCGCAGCTAGCTGCCTGACGTCACCAAGCACGGGGCTGGGGCTCGGGGCTGGGCTCTGGGCGCTCGGGCGGGAGCCTGGAGAGCTCCGCGCCGGGAAGCTCCAGCCAGGCCCCGGCGTCCCGCCGCCCCGGCTCCGCCCCGCCCCGGCCCCGC